CCTTTACTCCGCCCCCTTCGCCCTTCGCCCCGCCTCTCCGCCCTTAACCACGCCCCTTCGCCCTTCGCCCCGCCCACCTCGCCCTTAACCCTGCCCCCTCCGCCCTTAACCCCGCCCCTTTCCCCCTTAACCCCGCCCCCAGGTGCCCGGTGCTATTGGTGGTCGGCGACAACTCCCCCCACGAGGACGCGGTGGTGAGACCAATAGCGGACGGGGATGGGGGGCGGTGGGGCGGGGCTTCGTGACGTCACGCTCCCATATATGGGCAAAGTGGGCGGGGCTTAATGTGACGTCATTTCCAGGTGGAGTGCAACGCCAAGCTGGATCCCACCCAGACCTCCTTCTTAAAGGCGAGCCGTAGCCACGCCCCTTTTCCCGCTTAAGCCACGCCCTCTCCCTCATAGCCCCTCCCACTCCCCTCCTAGCCCCGCCCACTTCGCCGCTAACCCCGCCCCTTTTTGCCTTATATAGATGGCGGACGGCGGCGGCCAACCACAACTGCGCCAGGTGAGAGGGGGGCGGGGCTAAGTGCGCCGGTGGGGGGCGTGGTCTATGCTAAGCCACGCCCACCTGACTTTTGGCTCCGCCCCCACAGCCGGCCAAGCTGACCGAAGCCTTTAAGTACTTCGTGCAGGGAATGGGTTACAGTGAGTAACGCGATTCGTTAATTAACCAGCGGTTAATTAACGCCTTGGGTGGGATGGGTCATTCGCACCAAGGGTTGTTAATTAGGCTAGGCTGTTGTCGGCCGCTTGAGTCATTAATTAACCCCGTGGGGAAGCTCCTAATTAACCCCCCCCCCCACCATCCTCATGCCACATAACCCAGCTAGGGTGATTTAACAAGGGGCTTAATTAACAAATTAACGATTGATTAACGCTAGGTGCGGGTTGGGTCATTAGAGCAGGAGGTTGTTAATTAGCCTAGGGCGTTCTCAGCCGCATGGATCATTAATTAAGCCTGTGGGGAGGTTCTTAATTAGCAGCCCCCAGCCTTAAGCCCTGTACGTCTCACTGTAATGAATGTGGGGGTGAAAGGGATTGTGGGAAGGGGGCGTGGCCTGCTGGTGTGGGGGCGAGCTTAAGGCGATGTGGGCGTGGTCTAATGCTCGATTGAAATGAATGGGGGGGAAGAATGGGATTAGGGGGACGTGGGCGTGGCCTGGGGAGAAGGGGGCGTGGCTTGTGGTCTCTGTGGGCGTGGCTTAGCACTCATGGAAATGAATGGGGGAACGAAAGGGTCTGTGGGAAGGGGGCGTGGTTTGGGAACCAGGGGGCGTGGCTTACGGTCTAGGGGGCGTGGTCTCAGCGCTCATTGGAATGAATGGGGGAATGAAAGGGATTATGGGATGTGGGAGGGGCCTGGAAGAAAGGGGGCGTGGTTTGTGTTATTTGTGGCCGTGGCTTAACCCTCATTGGAATTAATGGGTGGCTGAAATGCATTATGGGAAGTGGGCGGGGCCTGGAGGATAGGGGCGTGGTTTATGCATCTGTGGGCGTGGCTTAACGCTCACTGAAACGAATGGGGGAATGAAAGGGATTGTGGGAAGTGGGCGGGGCCGGGAAGAAAGGGGGAGGGGCCTATAGTATTTGTGGGCGTGGCTTAACTCCCACTATAATGAATGGCGGGGTGAAAGGGATTGTGGGAAGTGGGCGGGGCCTGTAAAAGTGGGCGTGGCTTATAAGGAACAGGGGCGTGGCTTCCCCGCCTTGTGGGCGTGGCTTAACACTACCTGTACAGAAAGGTTGGGTTGAAAGGGATTATGGGAATGGAGGCGTGGCTTATGTGATTGTGGGCGTGGCTTAACTCGCCTTTGAACGAATGGGGGGGTTAAAAGGGATTATGGGAAGTGGGCGGGGCCTGGAAGAAAGGGGGCGTGGTTTGTGGTATTTTGTGGGTGTGGCTTAACTCCCACGATAATGAATGGGGAGGTGTGAAAGGGATTATGGGAAGCGGGCGGGGCCTGGTTGAAAGGGATCATGGGAATGGGGGCGTGGCTTATGTGATTGTGGGCGTGGCTTAACTCTCATTGGAACGAATGGGGGAGGGGAGGTGGATGAAAGGGATTATGGGGAAGAGGGGGAAGTGGGGCGTGGCCTGACGGAAGTGGGCGTGGTCTGACGGAAGTGGGCGTGGCCTCCGCTCTTCCTAACCCCGCCCCCTGCCCCGCAGTGCCCTCGTCGGCCATGACACGTCTGTCCCGTTCCCGCACCGCTTCCGTTTCCAGTTCTACTTCCGGAGATGGGGACAAATCCGGGGGTCGAAGCCGGACCCTTTCAAGGGGGAGTTTGGGGGGGGGGCTGGGGGCCAACGCCGTCCCATAAGACCCCAAATAT